AAGAGGGGGGGGGTGCTTTAATAGGAGACAAGAGGTGTTAAAAAATAACCCCCAAAAAAACAAAACAAAACAACAACAACTTGCTAAGTTTATGTACTTGTGTTTCATCACTCGCGTTGTTCCATTGTTTCCCAAGTAATCCGAACTGGCCCTGAAGCGGGTGCTCTGTTACGGCGAGAACAGCTTGTTATATTGTTACCTCACCGGAGTGCGACAAAACTGCCATTAGCTCGTGTTGCAGTCAAGAGAAAGGATCACCACTGAAAAAGCCGTTGACTTCATACCATTCTATTCCCTTTTTTTTTTTTTTTCATTTTCAGGCCTGTTCAGTTTGGGTGCGGCAAAATGAGCACAACTAGATTATCATGGCTGTTTAAAGGTGGATGATGAATGTAGTTACGAGTCGATAAATAATAAATAAATGTATGCATAATAAGTAAATAAGTAAACGAACAAACGAACGAACGAACGAACGAACGAACGAATAGACGAATAAATAAATAAATAAATAAATAAATAAATAAATAAATAAATAAATAAATAAATAAATAAATAAATAAATAAATAAATAAATAAATAGTGTATACGAAGACTCATGCCCTCCAACAGCTTTTGCTTGATTTATTTGGTATTTATTTGATTCCTGTGATGTTGTTGTTATATTTGCTTTTCATTGTTTGTTTGTTTGTTTTCTTCTAATTTTGTCTAAGGCTTAATACACGATAAAGTGATAAATAAATTAAAACTCGAAAAACATTATATTATAGCTATAACCCTTTCAAGACATAGCAGCCACATAAAATGTCCTATAGTATGCCCGACCAGCAGCAGACAAAAGACAACGTTGCTGCATTTTGCCAACCATCACACACCAATTTGAAAACACGAATTTGTCGCCTGCCCTTTTAAGTTTAGGAGTTTTCTTTTTTAATTCACTGGAAAAATATAAAATCATGAATAATAAAGATTTTGAACCTTTTCTTTTTTTCTTTTTTTTTCTTTTTGATATGTCCCTAAAACACTGCTTGACTACAACATGGGTTTTCGAATGAATAGAACCAGCATCTGTGAAAACGGAATAATTTTAACGCCCCTATCAACACTATTAGGTCCAGCGTCTATCTGTGGTGTAGCAGTTAGGCGCTTTGCTGTGCACACGACACGCGAGCCTAGTTCGATTCACAAGAAGGGAGAAATTTTCATCTGATACCTCAGTCTTTCTGTCGGGATGTTGTATCCCTGATGGGTAGGGTCGGAAGCCCGCCTCCTAAATCATCGAAATAGTGTCGATTGGGGGTGGGGGGGGGACATAAATAGCACCTATGCTGTTGCTTTTTTAAGGATTTTGTTTCCTTGAATGAGCAAATTGCACGTCCAAAAAGAGCTAAGCATGTGCACAGTGTGAGGCTCGTGTGTGTGTGTTCACATGTAAGAGCGACTGACTACATCCAGCTGTAATTTTGCCTATGTGTGTGTCTGGCTGATTGCGCAAGACTTATTAACTAACCTGCGCAATGTGATATTTTGGTCGATATTGTAAAGAGATACAAATGCAAAAAAAAGGGAGGGGGGGGATGATAAATTAGTTAGTAGAAAGCTTGGACAATATATCACACAAGTGTAGGTAATGTTTAATAATAGTGACACCCTCCCCCTCCCTCTTTTCTCCTTTTTTATTCTTTTTTTTTTATACGGTCCTCTTTGTATTCCTTTACAAGTCTATTATGCTTCATGTTAATGAGACTGTTATATTGATTAAGACGACCGACTCGCGTTATGATGTGCTTCTTTTACAATCACAGTGCGTTTGATAATACATGTAATGTTAAGAATAGTAATAATGACAATAGTATGCAAATAATAATAATATTAATAATGAT